AAATTGTCACCGTCTGGTGACAGTTTTATCACCACACGGTGACAAATAGTAACACCATGCCGGTGTAGCCGCACGTATGCACCCCGCGCGGTGTAAAATTTACACCAGATTTTTTGCAGTGCAATTTTCGAAAGATTTGTCTTCTAACCAGATCGAAATTCGCAGGTAATTAGCCCGAGTCCCATTACAGAGTGGACACACTATATTAGTAATTTAATCTTCTACTTCACACCGTTTGTGTTAAAAAAGTAAGTCATTTTTTGATTTAAAGAAGAATGCATGGATTCTGAGGACATGGTAATTTATTGTAAAAATGACTAGCTTTCGGAATGCTTATTCCTTCATCAGGTCTTTACAAATTCAATAAATTAAATGACAACTTGTACATTGATTTACGAGATTTTTGTGATAATATGTACATATTAGCAACTAAGTAACCGGACCAAATTTTAAAAAATTCACACGTGTTGTGCACCATATGGGGTTGAGATTCATTCCCTTAGATGAGTTCATGATGTTAGTTGAGCTTCTAATTAGTAGAGCTTCCTTAAACTTCCTGTGAAATTTCCTTGGTTCTTTCATGACCATTTTCAAGGAGTGTGTGTCGATCTGGTGTTGGTTTTCAACTGTATGTAGGAAAATGGGTGACTTTATGTTCATTCTTCTCACGTCGTTTTGATGTTCTGTAAAACGCTTTTCTATGCATCGCCCACTTTCTCCAATATATTTTGTAGGACAATTCGCGCAAGTAAATTCATACACTCCTGTGTTTAATGGTTTTTGTTTTTGTTTCATATTACATACCAATGTTGATACTTTTTGTCCTGGATAATATCCAATTTCCCAAGATAATTTTCTGCGCAGGAATTGAGCAATTTTCGTAGTTGGTTTGCCTGCCCATGGTAAAATTACGCGTTTCTTAATTTCGTTGGGTTGTAAAGGGTTGTGAATTTTTTCTTGAACTATTTTTAATCTCTTTTTGATTAGTTCTCCTGGATATCCATTTGTCTTCAATGTATTCGTTACAAAATCAATCTCTTGATTTACGTGGTCATCATCGCATAAAGTCAGGGCTCGTCTGAGTAATGTATCACATACACTTATCTTGTGGGCGTTTGGATGGAACGATTGATAACTTAGATATTTGTTTGTATGAGTAGGTTTTCTGTAAACGTAGTGTCCATTTTTTGATATTTTTTCATCGAATATATTGACCTTGTGAAAAGGCCCGGTAACTAAACGCGTACCAGGCCCGGGAACTTAACGGTACGGCTCTGTCAACGATGCATTCACTCCGTGCTCAACCCAAAAGGAGTCAAGTTCTGGAGCTCCTTCTTTTGTCTTTACGACCCTGGCCCGGTGACCTTTCCCACACCGGATGGAGAGCAACAGCAACAACGTTGCACTGTTAGGATCGGAGATCCGTCTGTTGTGTAGTGTAATATGTATTATGCACTGGTGTTAGCGGCGGTGGTGGTGGTAATAGCGCTGTGGTGGATGGAATGAGAGACACAACTGCAGCTGTTGCGATGCCAATAACAACTTAGCTTTATTAACAGGGTTGCGATGATGCTGGCTATGGTTACGGTAGCATACCGTAACAGCATTTATAAAATAAGTATTTATGTATGTATTTTGTTCTTAGGTATGTGAATGTGTAAAGCATGGATGGATGAAAAAAGGTTTCTGGAGATTATTCGGGTGTTGAATGTAAAGAGAGAAGGACAGGACTTTTGGGCACACTAAATGGGGTCTTCGGGAATAAATGATGTAAAGAGAGAATCTCAACTCGCCTACACATAGTTATTTTTCATCACTAAGAATCTTTTGAGCACACTTTTCTAATAAAAATTCATAGAAATACTTCACACAAGAATCAGAAGTGTTCACAATATCCTATGAGAATATTAACCAAATGGAATATCTCGATATGTTTCTGTCAGTTAGGTTCAGGGTACATTCAATTTAACAGAATTAATAATGAATAAGTAAGAATTCATTAAATGAAATAGAATTAATTTAATTAATTAATTAATTAAAATTAACAAATAAGAAATCCACTTAGTGGATTTCTTATTTGTTAATTTTTGCCTAATATGAAAACCTCGGACCGCTAAGGAATGAGTAAATCATTCAAAAAATTAAGCAATTATGAATAGATAATTTAAATTTTCCTAAATGACTGAATATCCAACAAAAAATAGTTCAACAAATTTTAACTGTTAGTAACAGTCTGTTACTTAAATATTACAGAGGTGCTCCGACTCTACCCCGCAGTAACCAGGTTAGGGCGAACTTGCACAAAGGACTATGTCTTACCAGCCTCAGAAATTGGGCGTGTATCATCCTCCCCAAAAATAATCAAGAAGGGGACAAGTGTCACTATCTCTGTTGACGCGATCCATCGAAATGAAAAGTACTATCCGGATCCTCTTAAATTTGATTCAACTCACTTCACTCAGGAAAATAGAGCAAAAAGGAACCCATATGCGTACATGCCGTTCGGAATAGGATCCAGAAATTGAATCGGTCAGCTAAAAGCTAGATAATTTTAGCTTTAATTTAATTGGTTCTATTTGATTTCCACAGGTATGCGATTTGAACTAGTAGAAACTAAGGTGGCTATTGCACAAATCCATAATTTTACGATCAAACCAACGGATTCTACGCCAGTACCGGAAAAAATGATCAAGGACGTTCTCGGATACAAGGTCTCGAGTGAAATTAAATTGAAATTTATTCTAAGAACGTGATTCTTTCAAACACTGGCAGATATTTATATAAATGTATGCATGAGTGTGGATTCTGTAAATTTGTCATCACACATATTCGAGTTTGATGCCACATAATACTATGCATAAGCTACACCTCATGTAGTTAAAGTTTTCATTAAATACAAATAATTGTTTCCGCTAAAGCTACTCATTTTACCACATTATTTTCACCGCTTTTCTCAAATGTGGTTTTTTATGTTGAATGTAAGTAAAACTGAACGATTTCCATTTTTATTTAAGCACTAACAGCTACATTGGTCATACATAATGTATTTATATTATTCCATCGAGTTCGAAGGACGCAGAACGTGAGACATACAATAGCATGTTCCCTGGTAACAGGCTCCACCGGTGCTGCCATGTAAAAAACATGACCCGGAGCATCCAAAATCTCCTGCGACTTGACAACTCAATGGTAATGCGTCCACCTAAGTAAAATTTTAATTTACAGATAACAAAATTGATGGATTACTGCCAAATATTTGCGAATCCATTACCTTTAATGAAATTGTCGTGACAAGGATAAGGATTAGAATGTTGATGGGAACATAACTTGACTTCATTTTGAAATTAAATTTTCAGAGAGGACGGCGGTGATAGTATTTTTTGATTATCTTGGTCTGAAAGACAAGTTGATGGGATTAAACAAACATAAGTTTAAAGTTTGCTAATAGTTGACAATGTCAGCTACAGAATATTGGGTCATGTCAACTTGAAGCTGACGTTCAGGTTTTTAACCAAATTAAGGCTCAGATTGTTTGAAATTTTAGACAACAAAAAGTTCTTTTATAGAATAATGCCAGTAATCTAAATAATTATCTGTGAAAAATAATTACCTTTTCCTTGATGAAAGACGCGAGAAATTCTGATGTATGCTAGATTATAAATGACTGCGGACTGCATAACCTTTGCAATTCGTTTTCAAGTTATAATTGTATTTAATGAGGTCGTATTGTTCCAAAAGGTGTTTCCAACAAAAAACTGCCAGATATTTTATATGCGAATTATTATTCACGACATATTATATTACTTAGAATAGCATTTCTCGAAATGATCAGTCGAAAATCATTAATATTCAACTAAACCATAACCTACGATGAATACTTAATTCAATATGCGTCAATTTGTTTGCCGTATTGGCTCATAAAATGATAAACTTTTCGTTTAAATGTAAATTCACGACATTCACGAGGATTTTAGATTATGAAAAATTGGTTTACTACGAATTTCACAAATGAATATTTAATGATTGTCACATACTTGAATCTCGTTAAAAATTAGTCAGGTGATTTTGTAGTAACTCTGAAGTTCATAAAATCCTACACGAATTATAATTCGTGTAGGATTTTACTTGAATACATACTTACTTATTTAGTAAATATTTTAACTTACATAAAAGATTCACTATTTTTACATAAATATCGACTTTAAAATTCTCTTGTGCAAGTTTCTATTTTTCAAAGTCATGTGATATTTGAACCTTATTAGCTCACCCTGCGTAGCACGTGGGCTATTGAATTCCTCTTGTCCGTCTGTCTGTCCGTCTGTCTGTCTGTTCACGAGGGTTTTGCATCAATTGATGCTAATTAATTTGCCCCATGTGCAAATTTTAGCAAATTGGTAGCACCATTGGTCTCGAACAGTCGGTAACACAACATGGTGCCAAACAATTGAAAACATAGATACAAAACACACCAAACGTGCATAAGAACCGAAAAAAATAACTAGAATTTTTACTTCGAATTTGTCACGATTTTATCTCAAAATTATGGATGCATTTTCCGCGTTTATTTTCCACCATTGATGGAAAATTATATCACAATTATGTGTATCTTTTGTCCGCCCATTCTGTACCATTAATGCAAAATTATGCCAAAATTGAGTGTCTATTTTATCTGCCAATTCTGCTCCATTGGTGCAAAATTATGCTAAAATCATTATTACAGGGTGAGCTACTTCTACCGGTTACAACGGTTTATTATGATTATATTACTTATGAAAATATTTATCATCTCACTGAATTAAGTAATACCCAGATTTGAAACTATCCAACCAAAAATGCCCTTATGTATGAAATCATAAATAGGGTCGGCCTACATTAGTGTGATCGTGGCAAGCAAAAATTATGTTGTTTCAACCGTTGAAATTCAACGATTGCATTAAAATATGCTGTTAAATGGTAATATGCTTCCATTATTTATCTTCGCTTGGAAGCAGAAAAAATTGTTATTGATACTACAACGTTCTTTATTTCAAGGTTATACATAATTGAACCAGAATACTGCTTTATTGCGCAAGAAAATCTGGAAAGTGTCTACAGCATCGGCGCCGTTTCTTGTTAGGAAATCCGCACCTGTAAATGTTAGTCTCGTAGTAATCGCCTGGACATTTCGGCCACGGGTTGGAACACCCTGTCAAGTAGCAATGAGTTCTATCAGGGGCAGTGATGCCATCCGGGAATCCGGGTGTCATCCAATCGGGTAGTGCGAGGGCCTCTTCATGTATATTTACATTTTCTTCAGCGGGATTTCCCAGAACTATCCCAGTGCCCAAAATTATACTTATTGCCAACAAAATGCTTAAATTCATTTTGCCCCAAATTAAGGTAGTTGTGTTCCTGTTAAGATATAGTCGTGTAAAAATATTTTACTTGAGTTATGTACATTTAAGTATTTCTTAACAAATCGGTACGAACTGCTGTGCGATTTTACCGTGATACTTAAAAATTGCTTAATTAATCGTAATTATAATTTCTGTCAAATTCAAATTTCTTATCCCATCTTGTGAAAATATATACCATCGCGTAACAAATTTGAATTTGGCAGAAAACAATAATGACAATTATTTTGATTAATTCTAAAAAATTGTGAAATTATTATTTAATTATGAGATTACTATACGTTACCTATACTATCTTTTTCTAAATGGATTGTTAATCAAACTAAATTCTATACTGGATTGGGTCCGACTGCTGAGTACCTGAATTTTGTAATTTGCTTTTCATTTAGTACTCTATTTAATGAGGTCGAGTTATTCTTGCAGGTGTTTCTAAATAATTGCGAATTGTTATTTCAGACTTATTATATGATGGCGCAATAGTTCTCGGAAAATGATAATAATTAACATTTAACTTCTTCTGACGAAAACATATCCTATTATGGTTAATAATTATATCAATGCACGTCCATCTGCCTGCCGTATGGGTTCACATAATAGTAAACCTTTCGTTTCAAAGTAAGTTCAAAATCACAGACTTCACGTAATCAAACATTGGTTTTCTACGAATTTCATGAAAGGCAACACTAACTATGATTTACTCGATGATACATATTTTATTTGACATAGTACTGCTATATCAGGCAGTAGATAGGAAACAATGTGGATTTAGTAGTTAGAAATGTCTAGGGAATATGCTAAAGAAATAATTAGAATTTAAATCCGTTACATTTGTATAATTCAGACATAGGGAATTATAGCCAGTTCCAATAATCTCACCCCTGTTTCAAATTCTCGTCGAAGAATTCAAAAATATAGTATTAAAAAACAATATTTGCAAATAATTCCATCACAATTATTTATTACCCTTATAAATAATTTACACCCCACTATAGTGCTCGGACCGTTTCGTTTCGTTTCGGATTTCGAAGGAAACGGAAACGAAACGGAAACCCGAATTTTGGAAACGGAAACGAAACGGAAGAGTAATTTTGGAAACGGAAACGATCCGAAACGAAACGGAAACGAAACGGAAACGAAACGAGAAACGGTTTAAATTCCATAAATTTTTTTTGTCGAATTTAATTTAAAGTAGATTTCTAAGAGCTATTTATGCAAGGATTTCATCAAAACATGTCTTTCGCTTGTTTTGGCTGAATTATACACTCTTAACAAGATGGGGTGAAACGGGGAGCCCACATGACTTAACCAAATTGTGATAATATTTTACCCCACAGTGTAATAAATCTTCCCCACAATGTGTAAACTTAACACTAGATAGTGAGGATTTATTTAGTGGGGTAAAATATTATCACAATTTGGTTAAGTCATGTGGGCTCCCCCTTTCTCCCCATTTTGCTAAGAGTGTACTTCTTCCAGCAATTTTTCTGAATCATTTAATCAAGCTGAAAATTGGTACAGAGGTTGTTATGGAAGAATATGGAAGAATATGAATACAATTTTTTTTAAATCATTTGGAGGGTCCGGTGGGGGTGACCTCTACCGATTTATAAGCGTTGATTTTTAGAACTTGGTGTCAAGTATTGAAGACTAAGAATTGATGCTAAATGCAAAAATAGTAGTACACAATTTTTTGGGGAACTCCTGACAAATATGGGTTTACTAATCCTGGTTCGGGCTAAGCAAAGCTGTACTGATAGGTTTTTCTTTCTAGGTTATTTGAGGGAGAAAAATGTAAATTTTTAACCACAAATACCATTATAACTTTGTTGAAACTGAGCATTATGAAAAATCTCGTAACACGTGTTAAATTACTTACCTAAGGCTACATAATTATTGTCATTCACCAAAATCGGAGCTAGACCGCTGGCGTCATCGCATAGTAATTGCAAATCATTGAAATAGTTCTGAAATAATTCGGAAGAGCTACCCTTCCATATAGATTTACAATTAATATGTAATTTGCCTCCCCGGTGTAAAGTTTCAAGCCTCTAGGAGCTGTGTCTTTCAAATTTGCATGAAATTATTCTGGGAATATGTTCCACTATCATGACTGATAAGACCATAGTGCGACAAAACATTTGTTAAACAAATATTTCCAACATTACGCAGACATATTTTACATTAAATTCAAAAATTTCCATTTTAACCGTTTCCCGTTTCGTTTCCGTTTCGTTTCCGTTTCGTTTCCATGTTTGATCCGAAACGAAGCGGAACCGAAACGGTAAATGGCGTTTCCAAAATTTAGGAAACGAAACCGGAAACTAGTGTTTCTCACGGGTTCGGGTTTTTACTTCGGGTTTCGGGTTCGGGTCGGGTTCGGGTTCTGCTTCGGATACAAAAATTGGGAACCCGAAACTTTCGGGTTCGAGTTCGGGTGAGAAATATGTAGTCTGAAAATTTCGGGGTCGGGTCGGGTTCGGGTTCCAGTGAGGAACCCGAAACCCGAATCAGCCAGAATTTGCTGGGGCAAGGAGCGCAAATGTGACACAACGAGCGCAAATGTGAGAAAAACTTCAACCACATGTTTCTCCAAAGTTGTGTTGCTATACTGAAATAAATAATTGTAATTTCTTCTTGCTGTAATTCGTTAAATTACGATGGCTTCGTCAACCCAAAACGATTCACAGGAGCCACCCGCTATTGTAATCGATGACAGCGATCCGGAAAGTAATTCAAAGTCGGCCAGATCAAGTATTCGTGAACATTTTACTTTAATTCAAAAAGAAAATAAGTACATGTGCAATATCTGCAGGTAGTTAAATTATTGTATTGGACTTAACTTAACGAATTACAATGACGTTTCTGAATTAAATTTGTCTCCAATTATCCGAAAGCACAAAAATCTCGGTGGACGTCAAAACGGGATCGACGGGTAATTTGCACAAGCATTTCAAGAAGCATTCGGTTCTTCCTGGACAGGCCAAAATTGAATTCAGTTCTTCAAAGTCTTTAAAAGTGGTATGAACTTATTACTTAATGTTTATTAATTCTTATTAAGCGGCAAGAAATTTCAGCCTTTTTAAAATTTCACAGCAATTCACTCAGGAAGAGTTCGAGAAGCGCGTCATGTCATTCATTGTATTAAAGAATCAACCCTTTACCACAGCTGAAGAGGAGTCGTTTGGAAATATTTTCGAATTATTTTCCGAACGGCCTAAAATGATGAGCGACAGTACGGTAAAGAGGCGGATATTTTCGACGTATGATCAGGAAAAGGAAATCCTAAAATCGACACTCCAGGTTATAAAGTTTTAAAACGTTTATTTTTATTGATTCAACGATATGAAAATAACTATACATATGTTGTCAAACAGGGGGTTAAAGGAAAGATATCCTTTATTATTGACTGCTGGACGTCACAGAATCAAATTGCATTTCAAGGAGTGATCGCCCACTGGATTGATGAAGACTGGGAGTTTCAAGAACGTGTCATTGATCTCGATATTCTCAAGGGAAAGCATACTGGAAAGAATCTTGCTCAGTCATTTCTTAAATGCGTTAATGAATTTAACTTGGCCGATAAAATTATGGCAATTACCACAGATAATGCATCAAATTGTGACACATTTTTTAAAGAGCTGACTTCTTCACTGTGTTCACAGGTAAAATATATTCTTCATGTGTAACTGATTTTAAGCAACAAAATTTACTAAAAACACCTGCACTTAGGCCATTGAATTTCGCCCCCAGGATCAGCGCGTGCGATGTCTTGCTCATATTGTGAATCTGGCGTGTCAGGATGCCTTGACCGCTTTAAAATTAGTTGGCGATGATTCAAATGACGTCGTAGAGTTCGACGACATGGACCGTGAGGAGATGGATAGCGAAGAAATGAGTGGGCCGAATGGAGGAATATGTGAAAAGGTAATTCAGAATTATTAATAATTGCATGGAATCAAAATTAAAGGCAATCTTTACCCCACAGTTACGCAAAGGAATTATGAAAATTCGGGCTTCCTCACAGCGACGAGAATTGTTCAATAGGAAATGCGAATTTAGTGAAATACCATTCAACGAACTTGTAAGAGATGTTCCCACCAGGTGGAATTCAACATATTATATGTTGAAACGAGCCCTGATCATGAAATTAGTGAGTTTGACCTAATTTTATTTGGAAATTATGGACGTAAATTAAATAATAGGATCAAGTAGCCAATATTATTATTATTAAATTGCATTGGTTTAATAGATTTCCGTTTTTTTATAGATCATTTTGATATTAGATCGTAGATTTCAATATGTAAGATCATGAATGTGGGTACGATGTTTAAGCTGCTCAAAAGTGTTGGTAAAAATTTTGAAAATCGAAAATTTTACCACATAGATTTAGGCTTTAAAATAACGGGAGTAAATATTAGTTAGGTGTACTAAAAATCAACTCGTTTTTAAAATTTAGCAAAGCATGTTCAACCCAGATTATTTTTTGACCACCTCAAATTTGTGAGACGGACTCTTTAGAAACAACATTTGCAAAACTCGTCACACTTTTGTTGTTTCTCTAAATATCTCACATACGATAAGAAAATCTTCAATAAATCACCGATTTGAATATGTCATGCAAAAAAGGGATGCAAACATTTGCCAGTTTTTTGCCAATTTAAAAAATCTGCAAAATTTTCCAAATTGAAATTTGGAAAGATTTAGAATAAAATTTGGCAAAGTCCGACGAACTTATAAAGTTTAACACTTTTATGCACTGTAGAAACGTTTCGTAAAACTAGAAATTCATGTTGTTGGAAAAAATCTGCAATGTATCAAACAGTTATGAAAAATTTCTCAATTTGATCTGTTTTCATGAAAATTTCATTACAAATTTCATTGTTTCAAAAATGTCACAATTTTTTTTGCAATAGAAACATTTTTATTTTTTCACTTTAAATTTGTTTATAATTTTTATAAAGTTGTAGATTTTTACAATTTGGAAAAAAATTGTCAAATGTTTGCATCCCTTTTTTACATTTTTAGCTCGCCATTGTAGGTCGGTGAATTTGTAAAATTCAGATGGAAATTCAGATACATTTTTGAAGATAAAAAATACAAATACACTCCGTTGTATTTTAGAAATACTAATATGGATTTACCAGATCTGGGCAAATTACTCAAAAAACCTTACTACAATTACATATATGTAGTTGTAGTACGTTTTTTGTAAGTGCATGTATGTCAATGACAAATCTTGTAATTGCAATTTATCTTGATAATTTGACGACTCCTCAATTGCTTTGACAGCTTTGCAACAAATTATAATTACAAATCGCATTTTGGGGATCAATGTACAATGTATTCTATAATTGAATTACAAACCACAATTTGTAATTTTGAATTAATAAGTTGGTTTCGGAATATACTAATCTAAATCACGTCAAGCGAAAATCACTTTTAGCCTTCAGTGGTGTTATAATTTCGGACGTCTTTTTATCACATTCAAAAAGTGTTCTAATTTTAAACATACAAATTGAATGTTATGAAAATTGGCAAGATAAAAATCTAGAGCGTGAGTACCTTGTGTTTGGAAAGTATTTAAGTGAAATACATTGTTATAAAATAAAAAATACAAGCGTCAGACTCAATTAGTTTGTAATTCAATACAAAATAAAAAATAAGCATTTGGTGTTCTCAAAATACGATTGTACTTAAAATGCATGTATTTTGATCATTCCGGGTAGAAATAAATTTTCATGTTTTGCCGATAATTTCTTTTAAATACTCGGCATTTATAATAAAATTGGGAACACAAACTGTGATCTACGCCGCATTAGAAAAGTGCGTTAAAAAAACTGCCTCCATAATTCTCAATTCTGACCTTGCCATCTCAATTGGTGGGTAGTCCGGTCATTTGCAACTAGTTGGATATGTTAGTTTTTTTAAATAACACGACTTTCAAAATAATGGACAAATCCTCAAGAATTTTAAACTAAGTTTGTTTTTAATTTGTTCGAAGGGTTTTTATGGAATATGAATACATTGCTGGCAGGGAAAAGTGCTTCAAAATCCAAACTATGAGGACAAAAATAAAAATCAGGGCCATTTTGAGAATAATATTAATTCTAATTGAAAATCAGTGGAATATTTGAAGCTTAGGAATTACAAATTCGAGTAAATGGAGTTGACGCCGAGATTAGGAGTAAAATTAGATTAATAAGATCAAATTGCTGGGGTTAAAGATTATAATTAGTTAATGTCAATCTTAATCTCCACCCTGTTTGTCAAAATTCCCCAGCTATGTAATAAGCAATTAGAATATTTATTTGTTTAATAGCCTTTGGAGAACACACTTAGGAATGAGGGGAAACTTAAACAGTTCATACTAACTGATGCCGAGTGGATGCATGTTGAAGAGGTTGTGGAATTCTTGAAGGTAACTTTATTTATGCCAAATCTTGTTTAAATTGTAAAATTTTATACACTGTTAAAATTTAGCCGTTCCAGAAAATGACAGTGTCTATCTCTCGTGGGAGTTTACCAAGTAAAGAACGTCCGGGAATGAATGGGAATGGTCTGAAAATGTGGTCATAAAATCACAATGAGTTATCGGAATTTTAAACTTTTTGCATATGTATAATACCAAATACGTACCTACATAATTTAATTAATAGCTAAGGCCGCCACACCCCCGTTGGCGACTAGTTCGATTTTCTTGCGAAGATTTTTCATTAAATTTTTTCCCGAAGTTTTTGCCACTTCCGAGGTGATTTTCTTCCATCGTCCTTTGAATTTTCGAAAGGTGTCAGGCACATCTTGAAGCCGGGAGTATACTGACTTAGAACGTGCCCAGAATTTTTCGATTGGGCGGAGTTGGGGTACATTAGGTGGGTTGATATCTTTTGGTACGAAATCAATATTTTTCTTTCTGAGGTACTCGGTCACTTTCTTTGCATAGTGACAAGTGGCGAGGTCAGGCCAAAACAAAACTTTATCATTTTTGTGAAACCTATTAATAAATGCTTCCAATCCAGCCTTGACGCAATTTTTCAGATAAATATCTTGATTGATATTCCCTTCGAGAACTACCGGGTCTGATACATGTCCGTGACTGGAGATGCATTGCCAAATGCAATATTTCTTTGGAAATTTGTCTTTTTTTCGTACTTTTTCTTCATAAGCCACTTCAGAGGGATCCGAGCTATGAAAAAAATGACGCCCTGGAAGATTTGAAGGGTCAACCGGAACATACGTTTCGTCATCCAGGATCACTACTTTTCCACGCATTTTCTTCAACAATTTTTGACAGCAATCCTTGATCCGACTTTCTTGTACGGGCTTGTAATTTGGTGCAGGTTTTTTGGTCCTTGCTTTGATTCCTAATTTATGGACCTTAATTTCCCCCAAGTAGCTTTTGGAAATTTTGACTTTCCTGGCAGCTACAGCTACTGACGTTGATGGCTTGGTTTTGAAAATTTTTTCAATTCTATTTTTCACTCGAGTGATCGCTAGCTTCGCCGGACGACCAGCTGGCTTCTTGAATTGCACATTTTCGGAATCCTTGAACTTTTTTATGTAGGAATACACATTTGAACTTGGAATTCCTTCCTGCTTAAAAAAGTTCCAGGTCACCTTGGAGTCTCGGTTGGCTGTCGTGTTGTAGAACTCCATCACTCGTTTTGCTAACAGCTCCCTTTCAAACAAGCTTCTTCTACCCTTATCCATTTTTGAAATTTAAGAGTGATATACCAAATTGACCCTAATGAAGTGGGCTTTCAGAAATTTAAATTATTATAGTTCGCGGGTTTATTGATTTGTCAATATACTCGCTAGAGCGCGCATTCCCATTCATTCCCGGACGTTCTTTATGTCACTCTCCGCAATGGTATACATGGAATTGTACACTCATCTGGAAAGCTATTCGGTAATTTAAAATTTGTATAACGTCCTTTACAATTCAATTCATATATCCTAAATTGCCTAAATACTATAATTTTGATTTACATATTTAGATTGAGAAAGGTCATTCTGAAATTGTTGTGAAAGCGGCCATAAATGCGTGTGATAAGCTTAACAAGTACTACCCAACGTCTGATGGACTGGTATATGTCGTTGGTTTAAGTAAGAAAATTTAGTAAAGAAATAATCCGACTTTAGAAAAAAAAATTACAAATTTGGAATAATTTATTTTTGTGTTTACTCATACTAAGTATTGGATCCAAGAAGTAAACTCACGTGGTACTCCTGCAATCCGACATATTTTTCAATTGAACTTGTCAAAGAATACAGAGGGTAAACCACGTACTAAATAGTGGTTGTAATATTACTACTGTTTCCAATATTTTTTAAGAGTGTCATATACTTACTTGTATATAAATATATCTACTTATTTCTTTAGTGTCATCACAAAATATTGGAACGACCGATATAAACCAGCTAATTCCACTCCGGAGCAAAACGAAGCTGACCAAACTTCTGAAGATGATCTTTTTACCTCTCAAATGAAACGGGCAAGGTTTGACGCCCGAGATGAGCTGCAAATATATTTATCAGCAAGCGTTATTAGTCCCGGGTCACCGTCCATGAAAAGCGGTCCGCTTGGCTGGCGGAAAGCACACGAAAACGTGTACCCAAATTTAAGCAAAATGGCGAAGGACTTCTTGAGTGCTTCAGGAACGGGAGTACCAGTGGAACGATTCTTTTCAGGCGGGACAGATTTGGTGACTCCAAAACGGCAAAGACTGAATGCGGAAACAATCCGCAAAACAATGTGCATAAAGGGATGGATGCGTAGCCGAAACAATAAATTTAAGGAATACGCATCTGTTGCTATTAAAGGAAAAATGGGGGGCGGGAGTGACTAAACCGACATATATTTCATTGAGAATTTAAAGCTTTAAATAAAAATATTGGCTTTATAATATTTCTGGGAAGAATAGTATATTTTTAAATATATAATTTGCTCAGCATCAAACTTATCTCTTAATTTTGCATATTTAACTTGTAGATCATTTACAGTAACTATAATTTGTAGCCAAAAAAAGTAGCACAGCACTTAAAATCAAAATAATTTCGGGTTTTTCGGGTTCGGGTTTCGGATTTGATCTGCCAGAAGGGGTTCGGGTTCGGGTCCGTGCAAACGGGTTTCGGGTTCTCCGGGTTCGGGTTGGCTTTGGGTTTCGGATCAGAAGTACCGGGTTTGGGTTCGGGTTTCGGATTTGCAAGAACCCGACCCGTGAGAACCACTACCGGAAACGAAACGGAAACGCGTTTCGTTTCCGTTTCTAATCCGAAACGGTCCGAGCACTACCCCACTAGATTAGGCTGATACATAAGTAGTTTGCCCAAAATTAAATTAACAGATACAAGAAAAATTTACACTGGTAAAAACTTACGATATTTTATAAAAATCTACAAAAACTTTTTTATCCAAAATGAATGCACCGGTTACATATTATTTATTAAAGTCATTATCATGTATTCAAAGACCGTCATCTCCCATATTTATTTAACAGTTAATACAATAAGAAAATTAAGCCTTTTCATTCACAATCTTTACCTCATCCTCGCTATCTTCCAAACCTGCCGTGGCCTCATCATATTCCTTCATTGCGTCAGATTTGTCCGCCAACAAGCTTTTCTCGGCCGCTTTGGCACCGCCCCGTTTAAATTTGATGTTAGTTTTTGCAATCGTCGCAATATTAATTAGAGATGGCGCCACCACGATTTCCTTCCCTTTCGGCGAGACTTTAATCTCCGCTGTGGATGTCGCCGGTGGATCCGTGTGGGACTTCATGGAGGCGACCGTGTGCGGCATTTCTGGCGGAATTATCTCCTCCCAGTAGGGATCCTTCCGTAAAATGGGAGATTTATAGTGAATCTTATCCACAATTGTGTACGCAACCTGGAATGTGGATTTAAATTTTCACAAGTGTATTGAATTTGGCGCATTCTAAAAAATTCCTAAATATCTTAGGTATACATTTTTTGTATCCGTTCTTACCTGCAAATGACGATCGACCATCCAGTTCAGTTCGAAATCATAATCCCCATCTCCAAAGGGGTTGACCAAACTCTCAGCCACTTTCAACCATCCGATGTAAAATAGAAATTGCAGAATTGTAAAGATTGGTAGGATCAAGTCCAATTCTTCCACTCCGTATTTCCCAGCAGTTTTGGGAACTAAAATACATACGAGTCAATCCACAACTTCTAAACCCTAGGAGTGCACTTTGTTCCTTTTCAATAATTTATGCTACAATACACACTGACCTGTCCTCCCATCCGAATCACTCCCCGGCTTCACCTGCATCCACTGTCTTCCCATCAGGCAAGACAAAAAGTACGAGTAGACTGCCAGTGTGACCACTTGGGCATAAACTAGGGGCACCCTTATTCTATCGAACGAAAGTAGGAGATTGCAGTTGTCCTTTATCTTGTGTATCTCGTCAGTCAGACTTTTCACGAAGGTGTCGCTAACAATCTTTCCGTCCGCACGTGCCTGCGCGACTAAACTTGTCGCCCACACGAGGGGGATCCAGTGCGTTTGATATTTAGGAATTCCGGCAATAATGTCCTCCAGATCGTGCTTCTCAGCCTCAAGGAGGAGACCGGCGGCAACGAGGTGGTCTAAGGTCGGAAATCTGTGAAAAAATTACGTGTGTTCATTACCACCAGCCTGCTAAACAGTCATGATCCATTAACTTCAATATAAACGTTGCACATGAGATTAGATCATCAGATGATGTAATGGCCCGAGATGCGAATGACTTTTCATAACTTGATATGAGATTTTAAATATTTGAGACGGTAAGTCGAATGGGATAATGTAAGATGAGATTAATAACTCATAAAATGTATGGGAAAGCCGAGATGAGATCCTATCTTAATAAAGTGCGGCAAAGCACGATACATAAGTAGCGCAATAATGCTGAAAATGCTGAGAATACTGAGAATTAATTTGCGCTATAAAGCTCAAATTAATTTAATTAATCAATTAAAGTAATTAATTAATTGATTGACTGATTGATTAATTAATTGATTAATGATTAATTAATTAATTAATTAATTGACTGATTGATTAATTAATTGAGTAATGATTGATTAATTAATTAATTGACCACATGCTCTATACTGCGACATGTCGACAACACAGAAAAACATGTTTTGCCTAAATTTCATGCATATTGACCGTAGAATGCCGAAATTAGGGCATGGCGACAAAATTTGTCGTCGAAACCTTAGTCTCCATATTGCGACATGACGACAACACCGAAAAACATGTTTTCCCCAAATTTCATGCATATCGACCGCAGAATGCCGAAATTAGGGCATGGCGACAAAATTTGTCGTCGAAACCCTAGTCGCCATATTGCGACATGTCGACAACACCAAAAAACATGTTTTGCCCAAATTTCATGCAAATCGACCGAAAAATGGCTAAATTAGGCCATGGAGACGTTTTTCGACATGATGTCTACAAGGTAACCACACCCCCTTGATAGGGTGTCACCCCACCCCCGTGATGAACATGTGTTCAAAATTTCAGGTCGCTACGGCAAACCGTTCTCGAGTTTTAGTGTTGACGGACGGACAGACAGACAGACAGACAGACTAACTAACCGATCGCATAAAGTAGCTTGCGCTACTTAATTAGTACATTATATTTAAACCGTGGCAAATAATGGGACTCTGCCTATCTCATCTCAATTTATTGGCAACCCTAATTTAGGGTCCGTAAACCAGATTGCAATACACAGTCATGCTCAAAATTATTACTAATTGTTGAGACAGTGTGTTAGAATTCAGTCACTTCAAAACTGATATCACATACCGGAATAAGTTAATTTTGCAATTTTAATATTCATAACTTATGAATTTTAAGTAGGGTTCCGTAAATATGAAGAAAAGAACATTCGACCAAAACAACGGTGAAAATAAAATTATCTTTAATTTTTTCAAAGATAAGGCATTACTAACCACGTCCAATTTATAGCATGCACCAAATAAAGGACTTACCTTCTCTTCGCCTGTCTGCTTATCAACGTAAAACACTGTGTAATCGAGAGACAAACATATCTCACTATTGTCCTCCTAAGCAACCGCTCCTCCTCCTCTATCCCTTTAATCGAGGTATTCACCCACATAGCGACGGTGTCAATCCACGGGATCAACTTGTACTGTGCCCACCACCTCCCAATCACGAGCGAAACGTAGAATCCCAACACAAAACTAACCGGAATCAGGGTCCCGTATTTTTCACAGTATGTCGAAACTTTCTCAAAAGTCCTCTTTTGTTCAGAATTCAGTAGAAACCGGTAAATCCCACTTATTCCGTAGTAAAGAGTTAGAAATACGAGTAAATCTGGCCAAACTAGCTTAAAAATTGAACCCTTCCATCGCAGGAGGAGGGGTCGGATGGCGGCCCCAAATTTACTATCGACAGTATAAGACACTGTCATCTTGAGATTATTATTTCCAATTTATGCCTGAATCGATACAAAATATTTGCTTTGTAAACAGAGATTTAGTGGAGTGGAGAACAGGTGTTTGTTTTTACTCCACAAAATGCACCAGCCAAGTTCAGTAAAGAGTTGAAGGTTATACGACCACATACATACGCACCTAATAAACATCCGTATATTTTATGCAATGCAGGATTAGAATTGACTTCGTAAATCTGTCTTGAGAATTACATCATAATCCTGCTTGGAATCACAGATTTCTACTTATTGCGGTGGTGGTGATGATCTCATGAGGATTAACATAATGCATGTCTCGATTGGAATAAGGTAGACAAGTTTTTATTCGTTTGGTACGTATCTACAATGACTGGAATAAGCAATATGTGGGTGAGATGCATTAGTCTGGGACTCTTGGTGGTGAAATTTGTTACAACTAAAGACTGCTTCAGTGGGATTATGTACGATATTTTGTATCATAATATCAAAACCGAGCTGCTTGATTTTGATATTGAATTACTTTCCGGAGGGGGTACAAGAAAATACATATTTTGCCATCTCCAAAACCATGATGATTTATTTAGTAGAATTAATTACCTATGGTACCTTGCCTCACCAGAGTAAAATACATTTGGATTTTAACTTTGGCTTCGTTTCGATTAGCTTAGACTTTATATATTTTTATTAAGTAGCGCAAGCTACTTTATGCGATCGGTTAGTTAGTCTGTCCGTCTGTCCGTCAACACTAAAACTCGAGAACGGTTAGTCGCAGCGACCTGAAATTTTTAACACATGTTTTTAACGGGGGTGGAGTGACACCCTATTAAGGGGGTGTGGCCACTTTGTCGACATCATGTCGAAAAACGTCGCCATGGCCTAATTTAGCCATTTTTCGGTCGATTTGCATGAAACTTGGGCAAAACATGTTTTTTGGTGTTGTCGACATGTCGCAACATGGCGATTAAGGTTTCGAAACTTTTTTGACATGCTTTGTCGCCATGGCCTAATTTAGCCATTTTTTGGGCGATTTGCATGAAATTTGGGCAAAACATGTTTTTTGGTGTTGTCGACATGTCGCAATATGGCGATTAAGGTTTCGAAACTTTTTCGACATGCTTTGTCGCCATGGCCTAATTTGGCCATTTTTTGGGCGATTTGCATTAAATTTGGGAAAACATGTTTTTTGGTGTTGGCGACATGTCGTAATATGGCGATTAAGGTTTCGACGACAAATTTTGTCGGCATGCCCTAATCTCGGCATTTTGCGGTCAATATGCATGAAATTTAGGCAAAACATGTTTTTCTGTGTTGTCGACATGTCGCAGTATAGAGCATGTGGTCAATTAAATTTAATTGATGAATTAATTTAATTAATTAATTAAATTAATTTGAGCTTTATAGCGCAAATTAATTAAATTAATTCGAGCTTTATAACGCAAATTAATTCTCAGCATTCTCAGCATTATTGCGCTACTTATGCATCGTGCTTTGCCGCACTTTATTTTTTCGTACATCTGAAAAAGCTTGCTTCACTTTTGATAAGGTCGTTCCGTATTTGATGATTTGCTAAGCATTATGAGTAATTTTATTAATGCAAGAATTTATTAAATTTTAAGATTATAGATATTTCTAATTTGTAATTGTAAGCTTTGCAACTCAGCGGCGATTTAAATTTTTAACTCAATTTCAAACGGTAACCTCCTTCAGGGTCCACATACTCCTCTCCGAACATTGGTCAACCTTTAACCAACTTCCAAACCCATCTGCCAATTTTTGTAAACATTTCTCCCCGTGGCTCATAATTTGACAGTTGTTTTTACTCTTGTCACATTTTAGTCTCCACTGTTGCCCGACCTCAGAGGAACAATCATCCATTACGACAGGTGTATCTGGATCTTCTGTGGTTTGAATGCATAATTGCCGTTCGCTATGGTAGGCTTGGATTCTGATGTACTGCTTATCTACTTTTTGTAATGACCATACTTCTCTCCTTGGCCCAGTCCCGCATGTGTTAATTCTAATCAACGGATGGGCATTTGGACTTGGGGGCAAGAAGAGGCAGTGTTGCTTTTCTCCGGTTGTTAGGGTCAGCACAGTTTCTGCGACGACAGAATGATGAAAATTCAGGATCAACAGGAACGAGAAAGAAGTTAACTTCATCGTGATAAAATCTGTGAATTAATTGGGTTGATTAGAAAATTGTTTACTAAATGAAATAAACTATGTACAGCTACCCCAGTCCTTTAAACTAGAGGTTTCAGTTTCACTATGGAAAAGGTAAAGATGAATTAGTTTTTATTTCTAAATCAACCGAGTTGCAATGGGGAGAGAACCAGATCAAAGTCTGGTGAGCATTTATACAGTTATTAAATAGTTGCACATTAATTATTCGAACTTTCACCAATTATCATATTAACATCTTCTTAATCAATTATGGACAGCATTTATGATACCATTGTTTTGCCAACTTGCTATAATATGCGAATGCATTTAATATTTAAATGGTGTTTCTGGTCACTTAATGGGCTGGTTTGATTACGAGAAAATGAGGCGTCGAGTATAATATCGAATAAAATTGAACAAACTATAGATTTGGATTTGGGGAACTCCATTCACCATAATAATTCTGCTGTGACCTAAAATATTTGCATGCTATTTTCTGAAATGCAATCTATATGGATATATACTGTAATTCCGAATTACTAATTCATGACCAGTTTTGTGAATGCATGAATGTCTAAATAATTTACATACGTTTCTCTAGAAATTAGAATCTAAATCAATCGTTTATTCATTCTATTTTTTCTACTTAAAGCACAAATGTCTGGGCAACGTGAGGCATTTTGTGCTATATGTGGAACAGATAGTATGTTGTCACTCAGATTCAACGTTAATTTTTTTTCTCGTGTGGGAAACCCTTAATAGCTATGAAGATGTCGAAAAAAGCGTTCGAATTGTCTTCAAAGTCTAGGATAGGGTTACGTATACCGTTTTCAGAAATTTCATAACGTTTTTGGAATATCAACGAAAACGTGTTTTTAGGACAAAAACACTAAATGTGACCGTGAACGAATTGGTGGTATTTTAGAGTATTAAGTTAAATTGCAATTATGTTCACAATTGATTTATCTACAATCTAAATAGTCAATTTTTCGAATTAAGACTATCTTAACGCGGGAAACTTCAAAATAAGTTAGGTTAGTTGATTTTCGGGTCGCCCAACCTGCACTGAACAATTATATTCAGAAATTCATTTTTTTGAGATAATCTCATTTGAATCATAATCCTGAGGGTTGTGCGGAGTGCCCTCTTCAGAACCATGTTTTTGAAATAAGGCTTCCTTGAGGCGGCAAAATCGAATCTTTGAAAAGATTGGAATTTGATCTCCTAACTTCTAACCGCAGCTACAGCCAAACCATTATATTTTTTGACTAAATCAAGGCTGACTTTTATTCGTGAATGTCTAACTTAAATTTCATCCGTGTATTACTTTTTTGAAATTTACCTGCTTTTTTAGTTATGGCGGTATATCTCAAATTCGAGTATTGATGCACATAATCATGTGTATAATGATATTTGATGTTAAAAAATAGAGTTTTTCGCGGTTTTGCCGCACAGGTTGTTACGATATGGCCTCAGCCCTCATCGCTACATAATGGTTATACGCTTGGAACATGGAAATTAGAATCTAACAAGATTATGAAATTTAGCAATGGGTAATGTTAATTCTAGATTTTACATAGATTACGAAAGAATGAGTTTTTACTTTTTAAAGTTGTGAATATTCCCGCAATGACGAACTATTTAAATCAGAGTGATACAGGATGCTTTTCCCACAGAAATAACAATCGTGTTCCATTCCGTAAATGTCATGCCGTCGGATATGTTTCATCTAGTTTGCTTGCCGTGTGCAAAATTTGTTTGATTTGACAATATGCTGGCAGTATCTGGAATTTCCGGTATTTAAAGTTTGCAGGCAGTAAAGGACAGGTAAACCGATTTAGCTAACATGGGACACTATTAGCATGGGTGGAGAGTCCAGGGAACCCACAATGTTTTTTAGAATCTACTAGGACCCTAGATGAAGGATCCATTCATATTTCCGTGTAAAACTCATATTTGACGCCGTGGCGTGGCGCCACATTCGCCAAATTTGAATGTTTTTAATTTTAAAACCGCCTTAAATTTTGAAATCCTGGAGGGATTTTCAAAATTTTTGGACAAAATCATGGCCATGAGTCGAACTTTCGAATTCTATGAAATTTTTGAAAAGATTAATTGTTTCAATTTTTTCGAAAATTTTGAGATTTTTTTAGGGATTGGATTCGTCGACAAGATCGTCAAAATAACTCGAAAAATAAAATTTTTTAATGTTTCATTTTTTCTTCAAATTTTGACCTTTGTGATCATTTTAAGCCCAACATTTTGAAAATCCCACGGAAATTGCAAAAGTTATGGAGGTTTGAAATTGGTCGAAAACGCAGATTTTGAAGTTTGGCGCCACGCCATGGCGTCAAATATGAGTTTTACACGGAAATAAGAATGGATCCTTCATCTAGGGTCCTAGTAGATTCTATAAAACATAGTGGGTTCCCTGGACTCTCCACCCATGCTAATAGTATACCTGGTAAGACTTCTCCTTATGGACCAACTAGACAAGTAATTTGATTTATTTTAGATTACCAAAATTTATTTAACTTACTTTTATACGCCTTCCCACATCCTTAAAATCTGCACGCAAACGATTACTTTTCGCCACGGAATGGAGATTGATTGCTGAAGAAAGTCATAGGACAAAATTGAGACGGAGAGATTTCTCGATTCTTATGGTACGTGTCCTGAAACAATAAAATAAATCGGATCGGCTTATTTAAGTAATTGCCGATGAATGTATTCGATTAGTTGCCTGATGTATTTTCCGGAAATACTGACATGCTAAACTCATACACATATTGGACATTTGAATGCCTTCTCTGTTGTATGAGAAGATGTTTTTTAATCTTATTTTTTTTATATTTTCTACAAATTTTCTTAAATTCATAATTTTTTTCAAGAAATCTAATCCGACAGTATTTGTAGAAAAATGATCGACAACTGAAAGATTTTATAATTTTAATTATTGTTTTTGAAAAAAATTGACTGAATTGAAAAAGATGGAATTTGTAAAAAACAAATTTGTTGAAAATATTTATAAAAAAATCATGAAATTTTTGTCAGCGCCTAAAAAATCTGGCCGACAATTTTTCTCGGCGTCAATTTGTTTATAGGCTTATAGAAAAGATATTTATAGGCGCCAGCGGCACGCCGGCGTAACATCGGATGCTCTGAGCTCTGCTCTATACATTAGTGCTCGGACCGTTTCGGATTAGAAACGGAAACGAAACGGAAACGAAACGGGAAACGGTTAAAATGAAAATTGTAGAATTTGCTGTAAAAGTTTGTACGTGTAATTCTAGAATTAACTTTTTTAACAATTTTTGGATTCATTATGGCCTTAATTCATACGTCATAATTTTAAGATATAAAGTATATGTCCATGGTTGCACTATCTGCCTAATAATTATCGACAACATAATCGTTCTCATAATACGAAATACTTTTGAAGAGATAAAATACTGTTTAATAATATTATGTATTAATTGAATCCAAGTAGCGTTATGAATGAATATTGCTACAAACAAATTCAACTTTTAATTTTATTCGGAAAATTAAAGTTTTGGCGAGCAGCTGACGGACTCTCGCTAATGGTATACATTGACTGCAACTCTATTTTTTAATTTAAAAATAAGTACCCGAAATGGACTCACATCCCGCCAAAACTAAGCGTGAAAATAATTTTTAGTCAAATTGCCCCACCCACTCGCCCCCAGACGACCCCAGCGCTGGGTCAGCTTTTTCTCGGCCCCCAAAGCAGATAACCTCACCAAGCTTGGCATGGGCCTCTCATTTGAGGTCGTTCTTACTGACATGAAGTATGAACCCCCTAGGTCAAAATCTATAATGCCCTTGACCTGAAAATTTCGGTCATTTTTTTTCGTTTTTTCAATATATTTTTCGTGTTTATGAAATGTTATCTATTCCACTTCAAAACCGTACAGAAACCATATATTCTGCGTCCAATGCCGGTGGTCCGGACCTCCTAGCTCAAAAACGAAGGGTACTTTGTAGGAAGACCGACTTGGGTCGAAATTGCGACAAAGTGCCCTTAATGCTAACTTTCTTAATGACCGCTGGTTCAATTTGCTTCAAATTTTGGTATGTTATTGACTCTTAGTAAGCGAATATAGTTAAATTACCGGTAGGTCGAAATCGACCTGCGTGACCTTGTTTCAGAGGTCAGCGGGATAAATCGGAAGATAAAGTCTCACATAACCCCATACGTGGGGTATCGTTGAGAAGGTCTTGATGAGAGGATTAAGAATATATATACTTTGTGGGGTCTTGGATCACCCCTGAGTGGTGATCCAACTGAGGCAACTTTTTTTCCAAATTTTTCTTCCATTACACCAATTTCATGCCCTATGTCCTATTTTTCATAGAAATTCAAACATCAAAAATTCAGCTGCCAAAGCTTTCCTATTTGGAATGGACACCGTCAGTAGGAAATTCCTTTATTCCCCAACATCCTCGACTCGGTTGAATTACACTAACAAATTTTTAACTGTCCACTAATATTACCTCGTACATGAATTACATTATGCTTCTATTTACTTCGAAATGCTTGTCTGAGATATGGTTAAACTCATCCAGTGATTTAAGCATTTTTTATTATTTCACGAAGCGCGGAGATTAGATCGGTTTCTCCAAAACGTTGTACCCTCTCGGAATGAAAATTACAAGTATACTCTTTAAAATATAAATTCAACTCTGAAAAGGAAGGCCTATCATTCGCCTTTACCGCCCAGCACTTGAGGATAACGTCTTCGTAACTATTACAATAAATGAGTTGATTAAATATTAAAATAAATTAAATTTACAAAAATATAAGTATGACATACATACATTTCTTGACTCGCATGAATTGGACGGTCCAATCTTTCTCCGCTATTGATAAAATTTGGAATGCCATCCAGATGGATATCCTGGTAAGGGATTTCTCCAAGACTGAAAATTTCCCATAGCAGCACCCCATACCCCCAAATATCGGATTTTACCGAGTATATTTTGCTACACCAACTTTCTGGGGCTGTGGTGGATACTGGAATTGGTATCTGAGTATGTTATAAATCCGTGTATTAGTTTAATTAAAAATTTTTGAGGAGCCCGATGTATTGACAACGAAAGAGTTTTTTCTCAACATAGCGCCAAAGCATTGCGTGATAGGGTGTTCATAGGGT